GTATTGGGAACAAAATCACTGCATGTTTGGAATATCAAGAAGGTTTTAGCTCTCTGTAGTTAATTTTTTACTAGACAGAAATTTTTAATCTGGGATTTAAGCTTACATTTTCCACTATGAAAGTAAATTATTGCATGGTGAATATATAGGAAAAGTAGGATGAAAGCATATTTTTTTAAATTTCAGTGTTATGTGTGTTGAAGTCAGTGTACTTGTTGTTGTTCACACACACGCATAAACACATTAGAGAATACAAAAAGCATACAGACGTCTAAAACACGATCAAAGGAAAATTTTTTGTTGAAAAAAATCACTGAGTCTTGAATTCATGTCTGGATAAGCATAGCCATATTTACCTAATAGCTAGATTTTTATTTTGGGAAGGGTTTAATAGATATTCTGTCTAAGGAATGATTATTTTTTTTGTCTTGTTCTGACACAGTGATCATTTTGTTGAGTGAATCAGCTTTCGTTACTGTTTGTTGTATCATTGTTGCATTATTGCGCATCGGTGACACAGTGGTTAGGGCGCTCGCCGACCATTGACATGGTCCGGGGTTCGATCCCCGGCCGACACACACCTGATATCAGTGGTTGGCCTGCAAAATTTGGGCTACCGATATCATATGCTGCAAAAATTCCATACTTGTACCAAAATACTGTGTAGAATCAAGCTATTATGATTATTGTTCCCTTTAATTCCTAGAGGAATATAGGGCCTCAGCCGTGAGTCTCCATTGCGTCCGGTTCTCTGCTAGAGTCTTCACCTAGCTCCAAGTCTGCCAACACGTTTTCATCTCTTCTTCACATAACCTCGTCCAAGTCCTCCAAGACCTCCACACAGACTTGAGGGTTATGAAAGCTTGTCTTGCTTTTCCGATTCTTGCTTTGATATCCTCGTCAGTTCCGCCTGTAGTTGAAACGATGCTTCCTAGGTGGGTAGGTAAAAGAGGTTGTTTCTTTCATGTTCATCCGATTTATACTGATTGTTGTCTGTTGTTGTTTTTGTCGTCGCTGTTGGTGGTTTTGCCCAGGAATCTTCATCGCCTCTGTCTTCTCTATGTTCACCTGAAGTCCTATCTTTTATGCTTCTTCTTCCAACTTGTTGCTTTTCGCTTGCATATCTTCCAGTTTGTGGGAAATCAGACATATATCATCAAGCTATAATAAAATATAAAATATAAAAAAATAAATAGCACACCCATCGTTTTATTCCGTTCTCTACTGTCTTCATTTATCGGCTCCACAATTGCCCGTAAACGCCTATCATCTTCTCGCGTGATCTCCTCGATGTTATTGCCAGACTTAAGCCCAAATCATCGTTTCTCGTCCGGGTTCCACTTGAGCAAGAGACTGACGTGTGATGTCACTCAACCTTCTTCTCAGTGTGTGTCTGATCCATCTCCTTCTTTCTTCGTCATATTTGTTGGGGAGTACGTACATTGGTTGGTGCGTTCTCTTCCAGAGCTTTTGTTACTGATTCTTTCTGTCAATCTAATCTTCAGTATGGAGTCAAAGAAGATACTTTTTGATAAAAGTCTTCAACAGGCTGTTCAAAGAGCCTTAGGTGACGTGTTCACCAAGTCTTTGAACTATGTAGAAGCAATGACTGGCAGGACATTAATATTGAAAATTCAAGTCTTGTTCTTTACACTGATTTCAGTGTAATGGAGGTTTCTCTTTGCTTTTCGGGTCCTTCATAGCTTTGACATCCTCATCCGTGCAGCCTGCAGTGGCAACGATGCTGTCCTAATAAGGGGAAGACATGACGTCTTTCATATTTCTCCCGATGATACTGACTGGTGCCTATTCTTGTTGGCTGGTGGGCATCTTTATCATCTGTCTTTTCTGTGTTCACTTGAAGTCGTTTCTTCACTGCCTGCATCTTCTGCCAATTTCTTCATTTTTCGTTTGTAGATCTTCGAGGTTGTGTAACATTAGACATAAATCATGAGCTAAGTCCAGATCTTCTAGAGTCTTCTTATCGGTAAACAAGTTGTGAGTGAAGGTATCGAAAAAATCTTTGGGTATCGATTTGTAAAGTAAGATCAATGGAATTACAGTTCATTAAAGATGCTTAAATAATAATAATAAAGATATAATAGCAAATAGAATATCAACTAAAATTAGGAAATTTCCACAAAAATTGAGGATCATTCGAACCTAGATGGCCAAGGTAAGGACAATGTCTGAACTAGCTTCTTTTGGACACATAAATTAGACTTCTTAATGTGGATCCCAACAGCCTCAGCAATATTTAGTAGTCGAACTCTTAAGGCGAAGTTGAATATCTGTTGGTATGCGGTAAATGACTTTGGAAGTCTGGTTAACATCAACCTTGTGTTCTGTATCCACAAGATGAGATAGAATAGCGCTACTAATAGATTTTGTTTGTCATTTACTTAACCACTAGGCAGGGTGATGTTCGGAAATCCGACGATAAACACGCCTAATTGTACGGCCTATGCAACTAACTGGCTCCACAGGAGCAGTTAAATTGATAGATACACATGGAAGAGGCGAAATTAGGCAGTTTGTCTTTTACTCCCGAACACAAAAGAGGAGTGGTTTTGAAGACACAGCGTAATTCAGCAGCAGAGAATGCTCTTTTTACCTCATTTCCAAGGCGTTGTGTTAGTATCTCGCTAATGTTGGCCCCAAGAAACTGCATTTGTAAGAATAAGGCCTTTTTAGGAACTGTTGGTACCTTGGGCTGCTTTGATTTTAGATTCATATTCTTATCAATAAACGTTTCTGGATAACCGTTTTCACTCAGCAACTGTTTAGTATTATTAAGTTCCTCATCAAGACATTCATCTGAGCAGATTGCTCTTGCTCTGTGAACCAATCACTTTATCAGATTGCGTTTGTATTTTAGGGGCACGAAGCTGAAAAAATGAGTATACTGACAGTCAGTTGATGTGGGTTTTCTATATACACTTCTTCTTATTGTGCCATAAATCACTGACAAATTAATTTGTGAGCAAATACGCAGAATACTTTAAAGGTCATCTCTAAACAACCCTTCTACTTCTTATCTTAACAAGTATATCAAAAACTCACCCTATTTAAGAAAGTGAAGAATATGCCTAGAATTGTAAGTTGGATTTAGTCCTTATGGAAATCGTATTTTACTATGAGTTCATAAATAACCAATAGATCTTTGCATCGATTTGTATTCTTGAAAATTTACTATTTTAAAGATGTCATCTCAATAAGCATATTATTATTTTTTTAATGATAATTACTGGTTTTTACATTGTTGATGGTGTGTCTTCACCTAACTATATTACTTTTTAATACTTTCAACCTGCCCTACCCTATTTTGTGATAACATGCAAATGAATGCATCGCAGTAGCTGATCATTATTCCGGGTTATCCAACTTAAGAAAGAGTCAATCATTCTAAGTCTAGCTAAGGTTAAAATTCTAATAATCTACTTGACCCCGAACTACTAGTTTAACCTATGTAGCTGACCTCACAGTTATTTGGTAAATATTATTTTCCAAATATTGGTTTTTAGGGATGTGATTGATTAGCTACAGGATTTCATCGTGAGCTGACATTGATTTGAGAGCCATTAGAAAACCTGGGAGTACTGGACAGCTGTCACGCATGAGAACAAATACTCGCCCGTGGCATTCGGTAGTAGCCTCACTATATCCTGAATTGGCAGAAGTTGGACCATGGATCCGATCACAATGACTTAATGGTTTACAAGCTCGCCTAGTAATCAAAAGGTCCTGGGTTCGAACCCAAGTGGTAGGTGGATACTGCTGAAGAGTCTCAAACCAGCCTGGTGAAACAGCTGTCCTGGTGGTTTTCAAATGGTTCTATAACGGATATTATTTTTCTTAATTGAATCTGTTGGGTCCCTAAGCAGACAAAGTTTATTTCTGATGGAGTTGATTGGTTTAAATGCCACTCTAATTCCAGCCTCATTTAGAATCCTGTGTAGACCTTTTGATGCTTCTTCTTCTTCATACCGTAGTACTATCGAGGATATAAATTCCTTATTATGTGTATTATTCTCATCCATTACATTACCGCTCTCTTATTTTCTTGATATGTGTTCACACATTTCAATGACTATGAGGTCATTTACATAGCTTAAACAAGTGGGTCGGTGTGAATATATGCTGAAATGATTATGAGTGGTGATGAATTGTTTTCGGATTGTCATCCAGTTAATGATACTGTATCACTCACTCACTCTGGAAGATGTGAAGAACTGCAACACAGACGCCACAGACTGCCACCGACGCATAACAGAACAAGTGGGATATATATATTAAAGCGAATTATGAAGCCTTTTGAACAATCAATGGTTCTCGAAAAGTCATCCAGTTATGAATACTGCATCACCGTGTATGTGTTACATCAATGTGGGAATACATTCTACTGCAGTTTCCAAGTTCTTCAGGTATTTTACTGTAATTGAATATAATTGCATATTAGATAACTTATCCTGTTATTGAAGCTCTTAAACAATTCACTCTTAACGTTTTGTTGATAAATATATGTATGTGATCGATTTCAGTGTGACTTCTTTTCTATGAATTCTGAGAAAAACAAATTACATCATCGAATTATGTACACAAATGGTTTCTAGATGAAAAACAAGCTGAATATGGATTTCTTTACGAGTTTGATCAAGAGGTGACATCATTTAGAGAACGGTTGTAGAACCGGGGACTGCTGGACAATTATTCCATTCTTGTATGAGACTCTTCAGCAACAGGCACCCACCGGGATTCGAACCTAGCACCTTTCGGCTACAAGACAAGGTAGTGGACACTAGAATCCGATCCAATCGCCAGCCAATGAATTCTAATTTCTGCGAATCCGTGATGTTTGTAGTGCAACCGTCAGCCAATGTCACTGGCGAGTAACTGTAGTCTTACCTAATCAAATCTCTGTGATTTAACGCTTGAGAATATAAATTTTTTTAAAATTTTGAGTATACCTATACAGATTGAACTTTCCCCTTTAATTTTAGCTTCAATATGATGAGAACAATTGAAAGAAAATCGGTAACAGATTACAAGGAATTGCGAAGGTGTTGATCAAGCAAGATATTTACTTATTTATTTATTGCAATTCAATTACCAAACGGATAATAACTCGCATTAATGTTTGCTTTCAACTGTAACACTGCAATATTCATTTTACAAATATGTATATATTATCTGCGTCAGATTTATTGCAATGACTGTGTACTACACATTGATGATTTAAATAATTGCGCAAAATTAGTTGGAATTAAAAGAATTCCCGAGAAGTATGAAGGATTTGGTTTCGGTTTCGGTTCAGTCAGTGATGTGGAACACATGTGTAGGTAAATAGAACAGTTATTTTTAATACGTTGACGCTATTTTTTTAAATCTATTTTATTTGTACTGTTTTTATTTTTAATTGTTAGCCTACATTTTCCTTAGTTTATTGTTGTTGTTTTAGAGTGAAAGAGAGGTAGATTTATGTAAAATGTCTCTAATTTTATTGAAATCTATCGTATTTCTAGAAACGCTTATCTATGTACTGTATTTGAGTTCGCTTTGTTGACAGTCAACTTCGGTTAATCATCCTAAGTAGCCTTGGCCCTGATGTGTACCTGCTTATGTTCTAAAACAATGTGCAGATGCTTTATGTTCTCCACTTACTAACATCCTAAACGTTTCTTTTTCCAAAAACGTTGTACCTGTTGCATGGAAAGACATTAAAATAGTCCCTGTCCCTAAACCTGGAAATGGCAAGAATGTAAAGTTCAGACCCATTGCCAACAATTCCAAGTTTCTAAAGCTTATGGAAAAACTAGTACTTCTTAAACTTGAACCCTCCCTTAAAAACTTTGAAGACCCCAAACAATTCGCCTATAGACAGGGTAGGAGCACTTTAGACGCTGCAGCCATCTTACACAACAACATCGTCTCATCATTAGATAAAGGTGCCAAATACGTCCGCTGCACGTTTCTCGACTTCACTTCTGCTTTCGACTCTGTACCTAGATGTCTCTTGCTAAATAAGCTCTCTTTGACAAAAACTGACTCCTGGGTCACTAACTGGCTGCATTCCTACTTCTCTAACAGAAAGCAGTACACCGTATACAAAGTTAAATCCTCCTCTGCTGTGCTCACTGAAGCTGCTGTTCCTCAAGGTGCTGTACTCCCCTCAATTCTCTTTTCTTTCTTTCTACATGACTTACCATCTTTGAATGACATTAATTTTGTCAAATATGCTGACAATCTGACTGTATCTTTGCCTGTCAGGCGTCAAAGTGACTGCTCCAAACTGAATGGCTTTTTATCAGAAATCAGCCTGTGGTCCAATGAAAACGGTCTTACCTTGAATCCCTCTAAATGTCAAACAGTCAATTTCACCTTTAGACTAAATCTGACCTAAACAAACTGGTTAGCACTCACGAGGTGTGCAACATAGATGGCACTGACATAGAGACCAAGTAGGAAATTAAATATCTAGGCGTCATTCTATCTGTCTGCTGATCTTTCCTGGTCATCTCATATCTTGATGATTTCTAAGAAAATATTCCGTCTTACCTTCTACATCAAGAAGTTAAGACATTCTGGAATAACCCAACCCAACCCTTACTATTACGATTCGTTAACTCTTGCATCCTGCCTATTATTCTCTATTGTTCCGCCTTAGCTTTTCCAGGGCTACTGAAGAAGGACTATATCTTATTACGTAGGGTGTTAAATGTTGTTAGCAGGGTAAACAATGTGCCACTTAACCAGCTTGTTAATATTCTAGTCGACAGGCACTTGGAATCGTGAAAATTGGGCTAAATCCATTCTATCTGACTCACACCACCCTCTTCATTCACAACTCTCCCCTTGTATCTCATCAGACAGAAGTCTATATAGAGAACTATATGCTCGCACTAGCAAGTACAAAAGCTCAGCCATACCCTACTTGGCTGGTATTCTGTGTGATAAAGAAAGCATTAGGCATGATACCTGTAACTTATTAGGCAGTCAGTAGATCAATTGAATCTCGTCTTTCCAACTCATATCATTTATGGGTACAACGCTTTCTTTCTTTCTTTCTTCTGTTCACTTTTAGCTTTGCTACCAATATGCTAATATGCTGTCAAAATTAACTGAGACTACTCATAATCTATGTCGAATTTTATTTATTGTTAATGTGCAAACTGGATGCAATACTGTAGTGAAATGCTGAGAATTCCATTCTGTATCACAAGTACTGTTTTGGAATAAAGCAAATTATTATTATTAAGTAGTTGCGAAATAGGAAATAGTTTAACATTTGGTTGAGTTGGGTAATGCACTATCGGTGCACACTTTTCAAATCTTCAAGCATATATTGTTAGTCTAATTCACTTGGGCTCTGACTGAAACATTGGGCTTCAACAGCGTATCTACAACACTGTAAACCATTTGATTCTGTATATTTCTCGAGTAATAGGTTCTTTGCTGATTCGCTGCCTACCACAGTTACCTGGTGCTAATTCTTTTTGACCAGTTGTCTCATTCCAAAAAACCTTTTTAAAATATTTTATGTGGCGCGGGAAGTCTCTGAATTATACTGAAACCACCGACTTACTTGACATTAATCTTAACGATGTGAATCGTTTTGCGTATGTTGAATGCAGCCGATTTCCACACTGACTTCAGATTATTGGCTGTCCGTCTTGTAGTTTTGATCGTGTTGTTGAAATCCCTATCCACCATTCCACTGCCTGTAATTGAAACGCTACTGCTTAGATAAGTTGAAGAAGAAGGTGACCTACTTCAAATTTCTCCCACTGATGGTGATGGCGTCCTCCTTACCACTGCCTTTTCTATGTTCACTTGAAGTCTTGTCTTTGCCGCTTCTTCTGACAACTTGTTGGTTTCTGCCTGTAGAACTTAAAGACTGTGTAACGTTAGAAACTATTCATCTGCAAAGTCCAGATCTTCTAGAGTTTTACTGTCGTTTCAACCCATTCCTGTCTTCTTTCTCCCACACATGGTGTGTTGCGAAATCCAGTCCACCACAATCAGAAATATCATCAGTGATGGTGGGCGGCAACCTTGTCTGACTATTATCTTCACCTTAAACGCTTCGCCGAGTTTTCCTTCGTGAATGATTTGACATTTGGTATGATCATATAGCTGTTGAGTGAGGTCAGTAAATGTTTGAGTCAATTCCTAATTTTGAGGCAGTTTCCAGATTACTTCATGGTGAAAGGATGTCAAATATATCCCAACAGAGGAAACTATTTAGCTGTCCTCTACTGGATTTCCAATTCGTAATAATTATGAAGGAAATTTTCATCTTTAGAATCTATTTTACAATTATTTGCCTTTACCATACCTTTACCAAACCTGGGGAATCACGAAATCATACCTAAACATCTGTTCACTCACTATATCCCTTGAAAGGTGTACAGTAAACATTTTCATGCTGTTCACAACATATTTAGAAGAAATAAAGGGACGATTCTCTTCAGGCAAGGAATGCATATGTTGAGTGGAATTTTCGCAAATTTAGCATAATATATCATCATACGACAACGGCACATGTCAAGTGATCCACAACGGAAAACTCAGCGAGGCGTTTGGAGTAATCACAGGAGTCAGACAAGGGTGCTTATTATCACCAATGATATTCCTAATTGTGGTGGACTGGATTATGCGTCAGACAGTGGGAAACGAGAAGATAGGGATATCTTGGACCGACGTGAAGAATCTAGAAGACCTGGATTTCGCGGGTGATTTATGTTTGATGTCACACAAAATCGAACACTTACAAGCGAAAACTGACAAACTGGTCGGGGAAGCAGCAAAGAAAGGACTGCAGGTGAACATAGACAAGACGGAGGTTATGAAAATAACCAACCAACGACAACAGCAGCAACACTCAGCGCCAATCACCATCAACGGGAGGGATTTGAAAGAGGTTACTTCATTCACTCATTATCTAGGGAGCATTGTCTCAACTACAGGCAGGTGGAACGGACGAGGATGTCAAATCGAGAATCAGGAAGGCGAGAAACACATTCATCAACCTGAAACCAATCTGGAAATCTTCCTCACTCAGCAACACTCAACAACAAAATTCGGATTTTCAATACAAACGTCAAGTCAGTTTTGCTATACGGATCAGAAAGTTGGTGGGTCACAAAGAATGAGTATTTCCAACAGCCTGTTGCACACCTTTATCAACAACTTACTGCCTTCGCTCTATACTGAAGATTAGATGGCTTAAAGAATCACCAACAAGAAGCTATGGGAACAAACGAAACAGGAACCAATCGCTCAACAAATATGCAGGAGAAAGTGGAGATGGATTGGACACGCGCTGAGGAGGCCGTTGGGTGATATCGCTCGTCAGGCCCTCGAGTGGAACCCGGAAGTGAAGCGGCGAGTGGGACGTCCAAGGGTGACATGGAGGAGATCGTGTGAAGAAGAGTTGAAACAGTATGGACTAACATGTGTGCAAGTGAAAAGTACAGCAGAAGACAGAAGCAAGTGGAGGCGTGCAGTTGAAGCCCTATGTTCCACTAGGAACCCAAGGGAACAATAATAATAAATATATCATTATATTAAAAAAATCCCATCCAATGCAGTATAGCTATGAACCAAACATTAAGGATTCCATCTTTAAATAATTCTATTTGATAAGAGCACACAGTCATTAGGAATTATTTACTGATGACATTTCAGGTACAATTGATCGCTCATAATAATATCAAGGCTCTCACTTAATTTCCAAGCTTTGTTTATACAATCCCATTATTTCCTTTCCTTTGATTTTTTTGTGGCAGTGTTATTTCCCATATCTAAGGTATTAGGATCGTATCATTCTTATTACCTGTGCTAGGTGTAAAATCAATGAACCTACCTGAGCGTAGAGAGAAGTCGATCACTGGATCATTGTTCATTGGTCTTAACCCACAATAATATTTATCGGTCAGTAAATTCTGATCAGCATATTATGGCAAAGTTATGTACACTGGTCCTCATATTCACGTTGACACTTTTTGTTTTTGAATCTAGAACAAGATGGCACATAAAAGTGTACTCATGTGCTCAATTAACAATTCTTGGTCGTTGTTCAAGCGAATCGAAATCACATTTTCGCGATGTAATGTGGCGTTTTATTTTTGATACAACGCCATATGAGAAAGCAGCAAATTATTTATGCCAACCGTATAATCTACGTAGTAAGTGAGTTGTCGCATTTTTGAAAAAAAGTTGGGTCAATTCCCTACAAGCAAATCTTTATAAGATATCTAATCAAACATTAAGTGATGTGATTCTCCTTGTAGCCTAACGGTGAGAAGTTTGATTCTTTCCCGGATAGTAGTCGTATTATCGAATGATTATTAGGTATTTTAAAACAGCTGTTAAGTAACAATTTTGCATACCTTACGTTTCATCTGGAACGTGGCACCTCAGGCCTGATGTCTTGAAGTTTGAGAAGTGTTGTTGTATGAAGTGGGAGTTTTAGCCTCATGCTCAATCTTTTTTGGGCCTACGATCGGGTTGGTGAGGTTTTAAGGGGTGTCCCGACCAGGAGTCGTACTCTGAAATTAGTGATGCAAAGTTTAGTAACTCTTAATCTTCACTGACATAGATTGGTGACAAAATAATTCTAGATATTTTCATTTGGCGACTGCCACAATAAGAATGCTTACTCGAATGAAATCGAATCGAATCTCCATTGGAATAAGTAACAATTATTATTATTGTTATTATTATTTCCTTCAATTCCTAGAGGAACATAGGGCTTCAGCCACACGTCTCCACTGCCTTCAGTTCTCTGATAGAGTTTTCACCTGGCTCCAAGTCTACCAACATGCTTTCACCTCCTCCAAGTCACCCTTGCACTGACGACCAACTCGCCAATTCCCTTTCGGGTTCCACTCGAGCAATGGCTTGTCTAGTGATGTCACTTGATGGTTTCCTCAGAGTATGGCCAATCCATCTCCATTTCTTCTTGCTTATTTGTTTCACAATCAGTTCCTGGTTGGTTCGCCCCCAGAGATCCCTTCGTGTCGCTGGTCTTTTCTGGCTGGCCATCTGATCTTGAGTGGTATTGAGCGAAGACAACTGTTGATGACGGTCTGTAGTTTATTTGAGATGCTCTTTATGACGCGCAGTGCAAGTCTCTGATCCGTATAGTAGCTCTGACTTCACATTGGAGTTGAAAATTCGGATCTTATTTTGGATGCTGAGTGTTGTTGACCTCCACACAGACTTGAGAGTAGTGAAAGTTTGTCTTGCTTTTCCACTGTTTGCTTTGATATCCTCGTCAGTTCCGCTGGCCTGCAGTTGAAACGATGCTTCCCAGATGGGTAGGTAAAAGAGGTTGTAACGATCATTAATTTGATGATATTGATGTTGTAGCGTTATATTTGAACAACATGTGGTTGAAAAGTATCATCAATTTGGTGGAGAGCAAAATTAACTTTGTGAGCTAGATACACGTGAGATTTTTTCAATGAAGTTAGACGGTATTTTCAGAAAGTTATGAGAAATAACTCAAATTTGTATAATTTTCAAATATAAACACCATTTAATTATGTCACCATGAGTGACACAGTGTGACAGAAGAACACTTATTTTTCTCTTGTAACAGTCAAAGAGATTATTTTTCCAAACGTATGAAAAATATTGTTGATTTATTTAAAAGCCGAAATTCTTCAATTTTACTGTTTCTCCATCCAAATCTCTGCTAAACATATTTCATCATAATTTTTGTATTTAAAATTTTATTCAACAATGAGATGCAGTGTGAAAATGGATCCTGATTACAGTAATTGCAGTTAGTCAGGTGAAACGACACATTCACTGCATTGCTAATTGAATACATCTCTAGTTAAAACAAGGCTATCAGCGGTTTCACTTTCATAGCAGCATAATTTTATGCACATTTGAATTGGAATAGGTAATAGCAAATAGGTTTGCTTGCGTATATCTCCTGTCTTACAATACACAGGTGCCCATTACCATGTGGCTGCCAATCCATCCTTCAACATTAATTACAAAAGTTAGGCGAGATTTTTGAAATTGAATTTTAGATTTTCCCGTCGATTGATTGAACTGAAGTGCTCGGTCTCAGGTTCACATGTCGGTTTCTTGTACAGATGTTTTGACGATGTCTGAGCATGTAATTAGAATTTAATTGGTGGGTGGTGGTGACTAGCGGTGGAATCCAGCATGCGCATTTCGTCCTATTTGGTACTCGTCAGCTGGATGTACATGCATTCCCCAGACACTGGTTTCAAGCCTTGGTGGGAACATCATCACTCAATGGGGAATGCAGGTACATCCAATGACTGACGAGTCCCAAATAGGACGAAATTCGCATCCTGGATTCCGCTGCTAGTCACCATCCGCCAATTAAATTCTAATTAGGCGACATTCTTTCAACAATGAGGATTGCATTTACGCGGCGCACTTCTGAAGACTCCAAAAATTGACCTTTGGAGTTGTTCGGTTTCCAGTGATTCTGTAAATGATATCCGATTGTATAAAACTACACACTACTGACTCACTGATTGACATGAGTAGTTGTAAACCACCTATAACAACCAGTAGTGTTTGCTAACCAGCTTACCGGGGTGATCTAAATACCAGACGGCCGTTTCGTTTGTCTAAAGTCGATCTCATCAGCGGCCTACGTTTTTTGACTCAGCTCAGAAAGCCGGATCACTTCAAACCACCAAGAAATAAAAGAGATGACCAACAGACAGTGTTCAGATCATTTCTGTCCAGTTAGCAATCACTACTGGTTGATATGAGTGGCATACAAGTACTTTTCTCCATAAACCACCTACGTGTGACTTCTTGATTACAATTAACAAGCAGATGACCTACTGTGATCTGAATAACTGTAGTTTCCGGAGGAAAAATCTGGTTAAATTTCACCAATTCCAACTGTGTAAATTGCAAGTGACTGATTTTAGGATGAAATTACTAGGTTTTGAACAGGGCGTTCTGAATAGTAGGTTCTGCTTATTCCTGTGTAGCATTCAATCACCGTAGAGCCCGACTTTGTGTTTTTGATAAGCGTTCAGAGGTATATTAACGGTTGTGCTCACAAAATAACTGAAGAAAATTAAGTAGAATTAGTTAGGTTAACAGTACACGGAAATGCATAGTTCATAGCACATTAACGATTAGTTGATATATTAGATTGTCCTTCCATCTTTTAAATCGATCAAGATGCTGATTTCACTAAAGGCGATATATTTTCATTGTTGTCGGAATTTTTGAGATATTTGATATCTTAGATGTCTGATCGCGTGCTGACATTACTAAGAGAACTCAAAGGCTATTTCATCCTAGTTTGGGATTCTTCAACATCACACATCCACCAAAGTTCTCACCAAGGACCTTTTGGTTACAAGGCGATCGGGTCCAAGTGGCTGAATGGTTTGCTAGCTCTCTTTGCAACCAGGAAGTTCTGAGTTTGAACCCCCCCCCATGGGTATATACTACAGAAAGTCCAAGAATGAAACAGATGTCCAGCACTCTCTAGTTTAACTGATTCAAAATGCCCATTAAAATTTTCAAAAGAATGGATACTGAACAAAGAGTACTCTTTTCGATAACTTCATCATCGAGCTCTACAGTTATGTATACATTATAGTGAATGAATGAATTAGTGTTATGAACAATATTAATGTAGTTTAAATAACATCGAATCAATAGTAATGATATCAACAGATTTCAGTTTAATAGCATCAATATAACAATACACTGAATATCAGAAAAATTAGGAAAGATTAAATTACAAATTCATGAATTTATAGTCTCCACTGAAGGGTGGCCAGGGCAGTAGTATTGGCTGGACTTGTTTCTTTTGCACATAGAGCACTGGTTGTTTGGGGCGAATTGCAATAGCTCTGCTGTTTGAAGCATGCGATGCTTCGATGTTTTTAGCAATTCATTTGGCACACGGTAGATGTCAGAGAAGGATTCTTCAACGTTGGCTTTGTGGCCGGTTTGGACCAGATGGTCCAATATCGAACTATTGGTGGTTTTTACTACGCCTTTACTTAGCCATATTGGTAGATGTTCTCGAGTACAAAAAATCAAGTTCCTAGAGCAACGGCCGATATAACTCGCCCCACAAGCGCAGTTGAATTGGTAGATACAATTTGAAGTGGCCAGTCTAAGTACTTGATCTTTCAGTCGAGGAATCAGCATCGGTCGTGTAGGGAATAAGAAGTGTAGTTCGCCAGCATCCAAAGTTCTTCGAACAGATTTTCTTAATTTCTTCGTAAAGATTTCGCTTGGTATAAGCCTATGAATTGTAGTCGTAAATATGAAGACTTCTTATTTACGGATAGCGAGTAGTCGTTTTCCGCTTTCTTTGTCATGTGTTTCTTGATAAATTTTTCAGCACAGCTATTTTCAATCAAAGTATTATATACAATGCCTAATTCATCTTCAATTACTTCTTCAGAGAATATAGCTCTAACTCTGTGACCGACGGCCTTTACATAATTTCTTTTGTACTTGAGGGGAACGAAGCTTTGAAAATGTGTATACTGTCCTGTCCATGCGCTTTTCCTATATAAATTTCTCTTTATACTGCCATTTGGTCTCATTGTAGGGAGAATATTTAGGAAGGCAATTTTATTTTAGGATTCTTCTTCTCACGTGAATTTTTTCATAGCAGAATGTTCTTCATTGAATTCAGGTATTATTGTGTTTCTATCAAAATCATTATCACAAAGAATGAAGGTGTCATCTATATACCGGCAATAAAATGAGAACTTTCTGATTAGGTTGTTCAAGGGTCCATTTTATAGCTAACTTAGAAAGAAATCAGCCATAATGGGGCCCAATGGAAAGCCCATAGCTAACCCGTCCACTCTCCAGTTTCACGATGATTCTTTAGCCAATGTGTCATTTCGTGACCAAACTCGTAAACCAAATAAATCTCTGCAAACCAACATGCGATATTTGATATATATCTAAGCTTATGGTAATCTCAATTCGAACAGACTATCTGATTGCAGTAGATTGGATAATGCGATTGACAGCGATGGGCAGCGAGGAAACAGGCATAAAATGGACTCACACAAAAACTTGGAGGATCTGGACTTCGCCGATGTCATATACCTGATTTCCCACAAACTGGAAGATATGCAAGTGAAAAGCAACAAGTTGGCAGAAAAAGCATCAAAGATAGGACATCACTTCAGGTGAACGTAGAGAAAATAGAGGCGATGAAGATTCCTGGGCAACATCAACAGTAACAACAACAACAGACAACAATCAGCATAAATGGGAGGAACTTGAAGTAAACAACCTCCTTTACCTACCTAGGAAGCATCATCTCAAATACAGGCGGAATTGACGAGGATATCAAAGCAAACAGTGGAAAAGCAAGACAAACTTTCACTACTCTCAAGTCTGTGTGGAGGTCAACAGCACTCAGCATCAAAAATAAGATCCGAACATTCAACTCCAATGTGAAGTCAGTGCAAATATACGGATCAGAAACTTGGTGCGTCATTAAGAGCATCTCAAACAAACTACAGACCTTCATTAACAGTTGTCTTCGCTCAGTACTCAAGATCAGATGGCTGCCCAGAAAAGATCAGCAATAGTGAGGGATCTCTGGGAGCGAATCAACCAGGAACCGATTGTGAAACAAATAAGCAGGAAGAAATGGAGGTGGGTTGGCTGGCCATACTCTGAGGAAACCATCAAGTGACATCACTAGACAAGCCATTGCTCGAGTGGAACCCGAAAAGGAAGCGGCGAGTTGGTCGTCAGTGCGAAGGTGGGGTGACTTGGAGGAGGTCATGTGAAGAGGAGATGAAAACGTGTGGGCAGACGTGGAGCCAGGTGAAGACTCTAGCAGAAAACCGAACGCAATGGAGACGTACGGCTGAAGCTGTATGTTCCTCTGGGAATTAAAGGAAACAATAATAACATAATAATAATCTACACAGTTAAATTCTTACACTTTCTAACCATTTTACTATACCAATGAATTATACTCAATAGCTGACTGAAAAATCATTTCATTCACTTACAGTTTTCAGGCATCATCGTGATAATTGTTTATTCCTATATGAATCACAAGTAGAGAAATGTTCTAAGGACTATTCAAATCTTTTGTCGAAAACGCATTTACAACTGGCTAACAGTAATCCGGTGAATTCACGCAATGCTGATGAATATGCAAATTATATGAAATCAGTACTCAGTGCAACGTATTGCAGGTAGGTTGATTTATGAAATATAAAATAGATAGATTATAATGTTTCAAACTATAAAAACATCCACTGTGAAAATTCTATGCACAGATTTTGACAAAGCACGCATTAGAGACAATTTTTTGAGTCAACACATCATATAAAATTCAAACTTTTTGATAAGATATTCTTTTTGACGAAGTCATCAACTAGGCTGTACATTCGTGTATTTATGATAAATGGGTGGGAAAGTTCCAGAATAATTTCCGGTCAAGGGTCAGATTAATAGAATTACAATTAGAAATTAAAATTTCATAATAAACAGGGGAGGGATGGATAAAACTCAAACGAAATAGCATCATAATTACTGAGAAGACTGAGATATTTTGCAATTAGGAGTTAGAAATAACAAAAAAATAGACAGAATGTTTGGATAAGAAAATATGGTGGTGTAAATAGGGATTAAGGTTAACTTAAAAATAACATGAATAAACAGGAAGTTTGGATAAGAAAGGTAATTAGATGGTCATTACTAAAAGAATTACCTAATTATGATGGATATGGCAGTGACAAGTGTTGGACGTATTTCTTTTTGATACATAGCGTGGGTTTGAGTTTTTGGATGACTAGTGTCTCGGCTATGCCCAGATGCCTTAATTTCACTCCGTTTGATAGGTTTGATCGAATCTGGCGCTGAATGTCCTGAGTTAACCAGATGTTGTGTCATTGGACTATATATACGTTTTCGATCTCCTTTTACTAGTCAGGCTGGATAGTGTTCACTTTTCGCGTTTTTCTCGTTAGCGCATGGTACGGCCGATGTACTGAGCTCCGCACGAGCGAGAAAACTGGGATATGCACGTTTATTCCCTATGATCAAATGTGTATATTCCGTGATTAGATATTCGATTACCGTTACAACATTAGGGTCTTGATAGAGAGTCAATAGTAAATGCAACTGTCGTTGATTAAACGAGTAACTTTATAAGCCAGTGTAATAAGATGGATGAAGAATCCGTTTACTTAATCCTTGTATATGAAGTCAACGAGATATAAACTATCCTAATAACACTGAAGTGAAATGACATCAAATAAGGTGGCTGTGCTTTTAAAAATGTCAGAAGAGAAATAATATGCTGAGATTTGCATACTTTGTTAAAAACATCATTATTATGATCGTTATTATCCATTATAGTCTTACGTGAGGTCAATCGCGAGGTCGTATAGCCCAGTAGTAATGTCTCTGACCGAAGTACTGTTTGATCTCAGTTCGAATCTCAGCAGTAACACGAGTACCTTCATGGTTGTAAATACGCTTTTCTGAAGAGTTCTAGCAAGTGCGAGACTTTTTTTGTAATTTTAGTTTTATTTTGATTACAGCTTGATGCCGTACCGTATTTTCAGCACAAGTATGGAATTTTCAGCATGGATATCGGCAGCCCAAATTTTGCAGGCCGACCTTAGATATCGGGTGTGCGTCGGCAGGGGATCGAACCCCGGACCATGTGCATGGTCGGCGAGAGGCCTAACCACGGTGCCACCGACTTAGGCCCAAAGTTTCTTTCCGATTTCCTCCAGCCAGTAACTAAAAGCAAAGCCGTACTCTGATTACGCAGCAGATAGTCACTTATGTCCTGCGTCTGATGTTTCATTTTGGTGCAAACTGAATTCTGTGAATCTAGTTTGCAATGTGGTCGCTATGCTAGGTGGCTTGTCATCATGGTGGACCTTGATTTATTCTTGTTATATTGTTGGGAGCAATCGGTAGGAAGTCTAGCTTGCACTCCATTGTGATGGATAAAAGATTGAAGACGCACAGCTGGTGAGCACTAACAAGTACGAAATCAGTATTCAAGGATTTTAACCATTTTAGAAAGAAGACATAACTCTGCGTGTGTATGAAACTCAGATTTAAACATCATAGATTTTTAGTGAATAGCGATTAATTTAAAAGCAGACAACAAATATTAATAAAGGAGCATTTAATGAATCCATCAAACCTTGGTGGAACTCTTCAGCTGGGTACTCTACATACAGTGTGTTATATATGCTATGGAAAACATGAAATTGTGCTTTTTTAGCATTCCATCCTATGTTTTGAATCCCTTTCGTGAACAAATTATTGCAAGATAATGAGTCTTTTCTCGTATCTAATATTATCTAACAGATATGTAATGTAAATGCCGCGTAACTTTTTAAATATGTGCTTTAGTAATAGCAGTCCTGTTACACGACAGAGTTTCTTGTTTATCCAGTAGTGCGAATGGCTAATTATTATGACTTAAGGCAACAACTGCTATTACAGAGATTTAAATATGCAGTGTGAAAAGATGAAGGCCATACTCGCTGTGCAGAATAAAACTCAAGGAATACTAAGAATTTAGATCACTTGAGAATTAATGAGAAATCTCCAATGCTAATAATGTACTTTATTAGGGGATTAGTTCTTTTTTTGATATAGTTATGTGCTCTGAACTGGCTGATTTCATTGCAAAGCTTTCGTTCTCCATGTAGACAACATGTTTAAAGCACAGGTTTTAGTATTAGTTTAATCTAAAAGAAATATTCACAGAGGATATAGTAAAATCATAAATTCAGAATATCGCACATTCACTATTTTGAGCAGAGTTAACTGAACCTCTGTGCTAGATAAATGAAATTCTTTTTTTGACATATGTGCACATGTGAACAGGATCGGACTGGAACCAGTTTGTTTGAAAATCGTACTGGATGGATTTTAAACTATTTCACGGGCTGCCTAGTCAACGAGCATATGACTTTGAAAACACCGATCACAGAAGTTAGGCAGCTTTGGGCCGCGTTAGTACTTGCATGGGTAACAGGCTAAGGGTATCGGGTGCTGCCAGCTTATTTCGGGAGTCACTGGTTCATTGCTACAATGCTCACCAACCATGAACGTGGTTTGGGTTTGATTTCCGACAGGCATACCTATATCGACTCTCAGAAAGTTCGATAAAGGGGAAAGGTTGGACGTGAAGCTGTCAACCTCACCCCACTAAAAGCCTCAGCACTTCCTCTCGGAAATCAAAGGAAGGAATTAGCTGTCTCAGTTTGATCCTAGTCTCAAATGAATTTTTAGTCACCAGGCTTTCATGATTAGATCTAATTTGGTAGGTTGCATCAGTTTGTAAGAGTTAGACTTAGAGTTTACTTCTACCTGACAATAACCACTCTTACAAAACTCCTTCACCGTTTATAACCTTAATTAGTACTCCGCCTACGTGCAAGTACTAAAGAACGGAATCGAAGTTAGAAGACTCGAAATGGCAAGTGTACTGGACCGGAATTATATTTATACAACGAGATATGCAATTTGATAAGGAATAAAAAATACACACTTATCTGGAGATGAGACGGTTGTCGGCTCGTAGAGTGTACTAGGTGAAAGTACAGCGAGAGAGCGAGACAGTAACCGTACAGGAGGAACCGGAGTACAAAGCGGAAGTGGAAGTCAAGTTCAACATGTCAGGTTGCATTCATTCAAACAAAAGTTCAAACGTACAATGTACACTACAGGTTATCCCCCCCTTAGAAGGTTGGTGGGATAACAGCAAGCTTCGATAGATAAAAGTAACAAGGTGGCGTACAATCACGGTGAATGAACAAGAAAATGTGAAGATAGTAATAAAATAGCTGTTTTACTTTTTTTTTTTAAAATATATATATATTGAGAAGGGAAAGAATGAAGGAAAAAAAATTAAGACAATTTATGAGCACTATGTACACGATCAATGGAGTAAGATGGAATATAAGAAGGAATAACGCTGGTGCCTTGGTGCGATTTTTTTTTTTGATTTTTTTTCAACATCGTTTATTTATACGTATCTTTTTATTTTTTATTTTTATTCTATTTATTTATTTAGTTTTTTTTACAACTCACTATTACGAGCTGGGTTATGTGGAGGTGTGATGGTTTACCTCCGTTACCCACGTTGTTATAACTGGAAGGTGGCTCATTATGACTAAGTTTCCTCTTAGACTAATGCTCCATCCTTCCTCATCAACTAAAACTAGTAGTAACACCAAAGGCAATCAATATACCAGCGTATTAGGAGGAATAAAGTAAAAGCAACAGAAAAGAATAGAAGAAGAGGTTAAGATTTAAAAATCAGCATAGGGTGTTAACAAAAACTTAAGCGGAATAAATGCGAAGGAACTAGTGTAACATGGAAATGGTACGCCAAATTGAAATAAAACAAGGGAAATTGCTAACGCTGTGAAAACTGATAGAATGTACAGAGAAGTGTGTGCAAAACCAATAGTTATGAGTAGGTACAATCACCATTTTTAAAAAAAATGTTGCAAGCTGTATAATTAAAGTCATACGAAGTAATTACAAATGCGGGTCACAAAATAAATAAGTGTCATCATGGCACAACCCGAGTGGACATAATAAAGTCTGTAAAAAACAATAGATTGAGCAGATTAAAGTATACAGCATAGAAGTGACGTATTTACATACCAAAAATATTTAACGGTCCGTTTAACTATACAGTGAAAGTTTTTGTTTTTACATTTTATTATTTTTTATTTATTTTATTATTTTTTTATCGGGTCCATATTTTTGGTCGTTTGGTTTGTAATTCCACGAGTGTTGGTAGTCACCATACGACGATAGAGTTGATTGATGTAGTTAGCTGTTCGAGTGTAAGGCCGAAAATAAAATGCTAGAACACTCTGTAAAGAGAAAGAAATCTAACAAGGTTAGTAACTGTAAAAGCGGCTACTGCCCACAAACTAAATCAAAAGAGTAAATACCATGAAAAATGAATGTAAACTGCGACAAAGAAAGAAAAAAAATGAGAGTATGAACTACTCTTATACGTAAAAGTGTTTAGTTAACGAATTCGCAGTATCGCTTAGGCCAGTGCACACGCCGACCGGCGCGTGTAACTGTTGCCTTACTGGTCTCATCCGAGGAACTGCTAGGTTTAGCAGGATTTTTGACCATCGGACTTAGCTGGGGTGTGAGTGCGGGCGTAGTTGCTGGTTGCGTAGGCGTGAGG